GTTGTTGTTGTTGTTGCTGTTGTGATTGGTATTATTCTTGTTGTTGTCGTCGTCGTTGTTGTTGCTGCTGCTAGAGCTGCTAGTGCTGTTAGTGCTGTTTTTGTTGTTGTGGTTGGTCTTCTTTTCCTTGTTGATGATGGTGTTGCTGTGGCTGTGGCTGTCGCTGCCGCTGCCGCTGTCGCTGTGGTCGTTGTTGTTGCTGCTGCTGGTGTTGGTGTTGTTATTTTGATTGTTATTCTTGTTGTGTTTGTTGTTGTTGTTGGTGGTGGTGGTGGTTGTGGTGGTTGTGGTGGTGGTGGTGGTGACCCTGTGACGTCAGTATCCCTATGCTGTACATTAGCCTTCAATTTCAACAACCACGTACATGTATATATATATATATATACATATATATATATATATACACACATTCAGTTGTATGTAGAATGTAGAACTACTGTTGAGGAAACGCTGACATACACACAAATCGATCTTTTTGTGATTTGCCAGCCCGGCCGAAACCCTAAACCCTAAACCCAAACAGGAAACCACAAGACAGTCAAGGCAGCTGGGAACCCGATGACCTCGAGCCAGAAGCCTCGACGCCGCCCTAAGCCTCAGGCAGTCGCCCAGCTGCAAGCATGTTTTCCTAGGGACCATTGGGTTTAGGGTTTAGGGTAAGGGGGAGGGGGGGTAGGGGACTACACTTCTGTAAATGGACCGTGCAATAGGTGCTTATTACAGGTGTTAGGGCCCACTACACCCCTCCCCTCTATCCTCCTACAAGGGTCCCTATGATGTTTGGCTGTTGCGTTTCAGGCTCTTTATAGTTTAGGGTCCAGAAACTGATAGCACGGGTGTGTTCGGGTCCTTGGAATCAAGGGCAGTTTAAGGTACGCAGGTCGGTTTTACACACACACACACATATACACACATATTTCTATGCATGTGTATGTAGTGTGACTCTTATGACGAGGGTCCAAAGTCCCAAAATGATCAGGTATTTGGGAAATTCGTTGATTTAGCTGTAAGGGTGCAAATGGCTTCGGAAGCGTTGTTTCAGCACATGGAATGGTAAAACAGTGACCCATTCTATACGACGCCGGGCTTGTAATGTACGGGTTGGACTAGTTAGTCATACTCATTCGCAGTCCCTGAAGAGCTATACAACAACATTCTCAAAAAGCCATTCTACCGGTTGAGGCTGTTGAAGCCTGTGTCAAAACTAGTGAGTAAGGCCCTTCAATCTGCGGTGTGACTTGGCCAGCTGTTCGGGTGGGAATAACCGCAGACGCCTAAACCCTAAACCCAAAGCCCTAAGCCCTAAGCCCTAAGCCCGAAGCCCGAGCCCTCCAAACTGAAAGGCCCGAATCCCGAAAACAGCCGAAGCCCGAAATCCGAAACTCAAGTTCCACCGAAGGCCTTGGCGAGCGCGCCGCCTCCACGAAGTGGCCCCTTGTTGTGGAATCTTTTCTGGTTTTGATTGAAGGATTCTTTGGAGGGTCCTTTTAAGGGTTCCTTGAAAGATTCCTTTTTGGGGGTTTCGGGTTTAGGGGTGTAGGGTTTAGGGTTAAGGGCTCCTTCCAAGGTTGCTTTACGGGTTCTTCGGAGGGTCAAGAGTTCCTTTCAGGGTCCCATTCAGGGTTTCTGTAAAGATTCCTTCAGAATTCATGTCAGGGTTCCTTTACGGGTTAGGTTAAAGCTTTTTTAAGGGTTCCTGTAACGAGTGGAAAAGAAGTGCATACTCCTCAAGCCTGGAGAAGCGATAACGCATGCGCAGCATGTGCAGCCAACAAGTTAGGGTTAAGGATTGATACAGCCAGATGCAGTGCAGGATGACTGTAGGAGGCCAGCAGGTTCCGGCAATGCCGGTTCACTATGGCAGTGACGGGGTCTCGGTGCAGGATCCCAAACATGGCCCGGGGCTGCTGCATGACAGTGTGCCCGGCCAATGTGCAACATTCAGATTTGGACTTGTTTTCACGGCAGCTCAACGACCCGTGAATCCAAGTCTCAAGCTAGCAGTCCATCGTGGTGAAGGCAAATCTTGTGTGGCGAGGCCACCATGTACGGAGTCGAGGTGGCAGATTCTTGGGAAACGAATCGACGATGTTCAATGAAGTACCAGAAAGTGAGCCTCCTGCTTGTCTCGGTACATGATGGGTAGGTACTCGGATAGCTCTGAATGCACGGAGCGAAAGAATGCTCCTCAAGTGCCTCCAGATCGTCCAAACACAAATGACGAGCACCCTGTGGCCACTGACCATACTCGTTTCATGAACCCTAAACCCGAAACTCTAAAGGGAAAAACCCTAAACCCTAAATCCCTAAAAAGACAAGTTCCGTTCATAAGGCCTATAAGGTCTCTATCCCCCCCCGCAACAGCGGTTCAGGGCTGAGGCTTCAGCTTATGGCTTAGGGTTTGCAAGGGTTCGGGGTTTAGGGTGTTTGGGGTTTAGGGTTTAGGGTTTAGGGACTAGGGTTCAGGGTGTTTAGGGTGAATTTGGGGTTTAGGGTAAGTAATCAGTGATTAACAAAAACAATATCCCCTTAGGGGCACTACTAAATGAGAACCACAGTACAATATGCCCCGCAAAAACCCTACTGAAATTATGGAGGCGCCTATATCATAGATCCCTTGGCGCACCGCGTTATATACTGTATAGACATTATATGTAGTATATAGGGTAACGGACATGATCTACGTTCTTCCATACATCGTCGGTAGAACATTGAACACAGCAGGTGAGCTTCCGTCGTTGTGCTCAATGCGTTTGACATGGTTCTGTAAGGTTTCTTTTGAGGGTATTACATGGCGTTAATATGTATTCGATGTAGGCGTTACTTTACTTCTCTGTTTCCGGTGGCAAAGATGTAGAACATCCCACCCGTAACCTGGTGCACTTGGGGATGCCGGGTGGTTCGAAGTAAATATTCAGATGTCAAGGTGATTCAGTGGGCCCAGCAAGCAAACTGTGTCGAGAAATGCACTTAAGGTGGTACTATGGGGGTCTCAAAAATTTAGCAAGAGCCCCCTTGTCCCCTGTAGGATATTCTACCTCATTAGCCCCGAAGCTCTGTTTCACCTCTTGATGTCACTATCCTGGGTCGGGGGTTGCTGTATAAAAGCAAGGATTCTTCATGTGACTGTGCTTAAGCGAAGATCCTCACCTCAGCTGGTTTAAAGGGCTTGGGTTTACGGATTAAGGGTGATGGTGGGGGCTTTAAGGTTTAGAGTGATGGTAGAGGTGCCTAGGTTTGCTGCTGCTGCTGCTGCTGCTGCTGCTGCTGTTGTGCGCCTCACTCTGAATACTTAACTGACAACTTGAAGCAGCCAGGTGCCGGTCCATGAACTAACCATTAGTAGCTGAGCTGCGTCTGTTATACATTCTTGGGTTTATGTAACCGTACCTTGTTGGGAAGGTTAACCTAGTTTGCATGTATGCTGGGGGCTAGCACCTTCAGCGCTGCTGAGTATGATCATCGATCGGAGGTTTCTTCTTGCAGACAGCTACCTCGGTTAGGTTAGGAGCAGAATATCTTCTCGGCAAGGACGTCGGTCATTTCCTGAACCCTCTCCAACCGCCTTACTCGTTGCACTAGGATGGTGGTTCTGAAGCAAATGGCTCTTTCCAATGACTTTGGTGGCGTTGACCATGAATCTCCGAATAGCTGCGTAGCCTTTCTTGATTGCGCCAAGAGATGCAGAAACCAGGATCTTAAAGCTTCCATGACGAAATCCGGAATGGCCCCTACGCCTTATAAGCCAACCTTTTCGCGTATACTCTGTACACCCAAATACATGCATACGTAGACGCGCGCACATGTGGTGATGCCTTATAGCCGAGAACCTCAATGCTGGGTCTACGGATTCACGAACACTGACCCTAAGCCCTAAACCCTGAATAACCTTGCCAGGCTTTGTCCGAGTCTGAGTGTCAAAAAACCCTAAATAACAGAGAAACTCGTTAAACATTGAATCCACAAAAACCCTAAATCACAGAGAAACTCAGTAAACATTGAATCCACAAAAAAAGCCTAAATAACAGAGAAACTCATTAAACATTGAATCCACATGACCGTGCGACAACCACCTCAAGCCTCGACTCATGGGCCAACCCCGAAGCTCCACCCGGTAATATACGGGCCTCAATAATTTCAAACACTATTCTAGGGGGGTTCCTTAATATAATTATAGTATAATGGGCCCCAAAACCCTACTCTAATTATAAAGGCCCCTAAACCCTAAACCCTTATAGTAGCCCTTTAAGAAGCTAATTATAGTATAACGGGCCCCAAAACCCTATTCTAATCATAAAGGCCCCTGAGACCCTAAACCTTAAACCCTAAATCCTAAACCCTTAAACCCTAAAACCCTATTCTAATTATAAAGGCCCCTACATTACATTCCCAAACTGTACAGTATAATGGGCCCCAAAACCCTATTCTAATTATAAAGGCCCCTACATTAGCATGGTCCATGTCTAGGTCGCCAGTGGCGCGCGGGCCAACGCCATGTCGCAGCCGAGGCAACCTATCCAGACCCTCCTGTTGCTGTGTTTTAGGGTTTAGGTAAAAGGGTTTAGGAATGTTTTTGTTGTTTTTTGGGGGTCCTCTCTCCTACTTGTTATGATGGGATCCCATCCACTAACAGGGCTAATGACCCCGAAAAGCAGCATTACATGGTCGTGTAGGTGGCCATAGGCTGACGGTTACGGGGTTTCAGCTCGTGATGAAGAGGTCGAGACTCGGCTTGGTAGGGACCAAGAGACCAGGGGGGCCAGGGGGCTCGTATCAGTGGGACTCCACGAAACTACGATATAGGAACTCGACCACGGTATGGGATGGGGCTGGAAAATGAGCTTAAAGCATTGAGCCCTGAAGCCCGACATTTCAGTTTGACAGCGTGTGTATGACACTCCTTGATCACTTTGCAAAGAGGAGTGAATCAGAAGTTCAGCTCCCGGAACAGGAGGAGGTGTTGGGTTTTTGGATAGAGGCGTGACGTCTGAATGGGGGTGTTGTTGCTTTTGGATAGAGGCGTGACGTCTGAATGGGGGTGTTGTTGCTTTGGCTTGTGGGCATGTTGTGGCCCAACATCCCTTGCATGGCTGAGGTAGACCGTCCTTCCCCGAAAGTCAGATGAAGTGTGCAGGCCCCTAGACCTGCACAACACATTCTTTGGTCTTTCCTGGCTCGAGCAACACTAATAATAAGACCAAAAGACAACATGTACTTTTTATTCCAGAAAACTCACTCCCTCAACCCTTCAAGCCACAATGCTCCAGGCTTTCATGCATCCATGTGTGATGTATAGAACTGTAAACTTGGACAGACGCCAAAAGGGAGGAGTCATTGTATGGTGCCGTGTTTCTAAGGGCACTTATATGGAGCAAAAGCCCTAAGCCTTGATTCAGCCGCGAGTGGATGCAGCCAAGAAGCTGCAAATCCGTTCTTTCTACTAGCTTATGCTGGTGTGCGCGAGTTTAGGCGTCAGTAGGCTTTGGCTCTTGAAGCGGTTCGGGTGTAGAGTACAACAAGGATGTCTTGTGGCTGGCTTTTCTCGTTTCTGCCCTTCGTGTTGCAGGAGGGCCCCCAGATTGGATTGTGACCGCAGTAGCACTGAGTCCAAGTTTCAGTCGAAAAAAGCTGCCTGCACTGTGCTCATCTGTGTTTGGCACCCTGCAGCCTGTGAAGCCCTACCCGTAATATAGGGGCCTCAAGAATTAGAATAGGGTTTGGGGTTTTTATACCATAGTTATAATCAGAAACCGCCAAAACCCTATTCGAATTATTAAGGCCCTTACATCACATCCCCAGCCCTGCCAGTCCTTAGTCAAAGGGAGAGTCAAAAGGATAAGCTCTACGATCGAGAGCTGGGATGTTGCTTCGTTGTAGTTTCAGCCTAACCGTGGCCTGGGGAGGGGATTTCGGGTATAGGGTATTTAGAGTGAAGGGTACTTAGGGTTTAGGGCATGTAGGGTTTTGTAGTTTAGGACTGGTTCACGAGCGGCTGTTGGATACCTTCGAAACCTTGAAGCCCAGTACCCTGGCCCAAAAAAGTTTAAATTTTTCTTTTAGTAGGGGGCTTAAAATACCAAAAAGTTTAAAGTTTACCTACTGGGCTCCTAAGGAAAACTGCCTGTTGGCCCTTGCAGCCATCTCTGTGTTCAATAACGAGCCACTGGATGGTAGGAGCACTGTGTACGAAGAAACGGGCCTTGAACCTTCAACCCGAGAGCCCCAAAAACCTAAGCTGCATATCGATCTACGGTTTAGGGTTTAGGGTTTAGGGTTTAGGGCTATCTATCTATGTATCTATCTATCTGTCGATCTATCTATGTACTTTTGTTTGTTCTATCTCTGGCTCTCTCTCGCTCTCTCTCTCTCTCTCTATACCCTAATGGCATTGTTGCATTCTGGGGCTTGAGCAGTTGCAAATCCATTTGCGCAGGGGGTTATGCCCCCGCCCGGTTTAGGGTTTAGGATTTAGGGTCCCAGCCAATCCCCTCCTCATCAAAGCCCCTTCTCATCCCGTCTCCATGACCCTAGACCCTGAGCCAAAAATCCTAATCACTATACCGCCAGAACCGAAAGCCTCATTCTTGTCAGTTTAGGACCTAAGGTTGGTCGGTTACGGTCCGGACCTTAAAACTCCAAGCATACGATGGAAGCCTTTCGCCACAGAGGCCTTGGCTTTGGTGTCGGGTTTGGGGACGTTGGAGGCAAAGGTGTCTTCTTCTTGGGCTCCATAGTCTTGTATAAGGCGCTCAACGCTGGCTTCCTCGTCCCTTTGCGTTTCCAAAATAAAAAAACAGATTATCCAGGGTGTTCACTACCGTTGGCCGTTTACGGTTCAGGGCTGTTGCAGGGGCTTCTTGGTGCCCTGAGAGTTTGTTTTGCAGAGCTTGGGATAGCTGAGGCGACTTTGGGTTGAGGGTTGAGGGTTCGGCACAAGCTTTGGTGGTGTAGGGTTTTAGTAGGGTTTAGGGTTCAGGCCTTAGTAGTTTTAGGGTTGAGGGTTTAGGTTGCTTGCCTTCTGTCGGCCTCGGTGGGTGGGTGGCTGGGATTGGGGCTTTGAGGCAGTTCAAAGTTAAGGTGGACGGAGAAGCAGGTGTAGGCACGCCGCGAACTTGTGGCTCTCTGGTGTTTCAGATCAAATAATACGGTCGGAGTTGCATCCTTACGGACGAAAAGAACCTTAAAAGTAGGGGCCTTATTCCCTTATACTATGAATCCCTACATGATATATGAACCCCAAACCCTTTTAGGGCTCTTTTTGTCCTTAAGGATGACCCAACACCGAACCTCCACTGGAACACGGAAGGCTCCCGATTTCCACAATGAGCGGAAAGTGGTTTGAGAGTTTGGGAGATGGCCCTTGCTGCGCCGATTTTAAACCCTACCTGGACCCTAAGGAACCTACCTTTTTAGGGTTCCTTACTATGATTTCTTTATATAAGCCCTTAAAAACGTAGGTTATTTGGGGCTACGGCTAAGGTAAACCCTAATTGAGGTCTGGAAATTCTGTGACCTTGGTCACGATGTTGGGTTTTCTTGTCAGGGGTTTGGGGTCGAAGATCGTTGGCAAACGTGGGCTCAGTGGAGTTAGCATCTCTTTTGGGGCTTAAGGGGCTGATGATGTTTGCAGGTTTCGGGTTGAGGGTTTTGGTGCATCTTCTTGCGTTGCCCGCCTGTTTGGGCTCCGACCATGTCTGATGCTTAGCATTCGGAGGCTTTTTGTCCGACACTTCGCAAAGGCAGGGGCTGCACTGAAGTTTCAAGGGGCTCCATGGCTTCCAATTCACAGCACATGCTTGGTTTTCGATAGGGTTTAGGGTTTAGGGTTAAGGGTTCTTGGCTTTTGATAGGGCCTCTTCTTCTTTTTGGTTGCATTCCGAGTCGGACAAAGAGCCTCAGAGAGCCGAGCTAGCCTATCTTTCTGACCATGCTCTGCTTCTACCGAACCGTTCTGCTCGCGCGACTCGGCTGGCAGCTGTTGGGTTTAGTAACGCTTAATTTTGGGGCCTCTACTATTTGTTTTTTGTTTGGGAGTAGTATAATATGCTCCCCAAGGCCCCATTCTAGCTATAAAGGCCTCTACATTGGCGGTTTGGGTTCTGGAGTTTTGATAGGTCTTAGGGTTGCAAATCTTCGGGCTTCCGGGGGCTCACGGCTTTTTAGGATGCTAGGCTTGAAGGCTAGGGCGCTTCAGCGGTTGCGGTTTTAGGGCATGCGGGCAAGAGCCAGGCAAGTCTGGGCAAAAGGGTTTAGGGGTTTAGGGGCTGAGGTGCTTCAATGATCCAGGGCTTACATCTGAGCAGTTTCGGGGTGTGTTGCTCAGACTAGGCTCTTGAACATCGAGTGTCTAAAGGATCAGGTCTACCAACCCCTGCCTCTAAACCCTAAAGTCCTTTCCAGTTCCGTATCTGGCAGGTTACGGTTCTTATGGCAGGTTACGGTTCTTATTATAGCATCAGAGCACAGCGATTATAGACAGGCCCTAAACTTCATTTTATGCTAAACCCGAACTGAGACACCCACCTCCGAATATCCGCTATAATCTAGGACATTTTCAGGTGGGTAGTTACCGTTATAGGAACCTTATAGAAGGTCTATATACCTTATAGAAGCCGTATAGAAGCCCTATGTACCCTAAACTCCCCACCTCTTATAGAAGCCGTATAGAAGCCCTATGTACCCTAAACTCCCCGCCTGTAGTTTCCTTTAATATAAGCCCGGATCCTGACTCCCAGAACTCAGAATCCCCGCGACACAGCGGAAGGGGCGTAGGCAATTACCGACGAAGCGTAAACAAGCAAGCAGACTTTTGTTGCAGAATACATGCACGTTGCCTGTCTGGCTCATTGTACATCTTAGGGCACAATCCTGAGTTTTCCTTAGGAACTCAGCTTCGTTCTTATACAAGGTCCTATTCTTAGTGTTAGGGGCTTGTAGAATCTACATCCACGTTGTAAACTACAGCAAAAAGCTAAGGCGTATGCCACAACCTCTCCGTAGACCCTGCGTATTCCCGGTGCAGTGTTCTTCACAAGTCTTGTCTGTTGGAGGCGAGGAGTGAATTTTCATGTCTCAGGCTTTGCTCTTGACTGGTTCATCGAGCTAGAGGTGTATGTTTCCATCAGCTCAAGCAAAGGTTGTTGGTTTCGGGTGTCAGTGGCGCCACCAACCGGTCTGCTCGCGTGGCTGGGCATGGCTTCAGAGGTTCAGGTTTGACGACGACTCCTAATCCCGAAACCCTGTACCCTAAACCCTTGAATCCTCAACCCCTGGACCCTAAAACCCTAACAACCCTACAGCTCCCCCAAAACATCACCACTGCCACCGACGCCATCGCCACCACCACCAGTCCACGTCTTGAAGACAGAGTCGCCCTGCCACACATGGGACCTGGGGTTTAGGGGTTCGGGTTTCGGGGTTTAGGGTTTAGGGTTTAGGGTTTAGGGGCTGTACCGTTGTTGCTGAACACAGGGGTCTCTGGTTGAATAGCATGTGCAATCAGGATCCCACTGCTGCGGGGTGACATGGGTTTATCATGTCAGAGTGCCTATCTGGCCCGGAATGATTTACATGTGCGATATGTAAGGATTATCCCACTATCCCATTAGCTCGCCCACAAGCCCATAGAGTCGTTTGAGACTTACGTCGGGTCGGCTTCATGCGGGTGCATGATGCATGTCAGAAGTGTCAGAACCCTTGGTCTTGGAGCCCGGTGGAGTCCCTGTTTGCAGTGCGAAAGTTCTGGGTGTTGCGATGTCGGAGTCTGTGAATGGGACGGTTAAGTCGGTGAAGTGTCTCAGATGTGAATATGCACGGGGTGTACAGTTTTTGGCTTTGGTCCTCCAAGTTCTCTGAGATTGAACCTCACACCCGGAGCCACCACCCACCTTTGAAACCTTGAAAATTGCATACACGAAGTTACACGGTTTAGGGTCTAGGGTTGGAGAATGAAGACGTGTGCTCAACAACTCAAAGCCCTTACCGCCACTTCCCCTTCCCTCGCAACCCCTAGGCGAGTGGCTTTTGGGCTTCAGGTCTAGGGCTGAGGGTTGGGGGTCAATACGGTTGATGGACATCATTCTGCATGACCCAAATATAGTATAGTACCATAAATCCCAGACTTCAGGTATATAAGGTCATGCAGGATTTTGTCCATCAGCAGTATGACAGGTTTCGGTTTTCTGAGTGGGTCGGTGCGGGTGTAGGGTTTGTGCAATAAACTGGGTCCTGGACGTCATCAATGTCGCTTTCACATCATTTTTCATGTCTTGCGGTTCCCCAGGCCCTCAACCGACACCGAAGCCTTGTTGTAAGGGTCACTGTTCTTACCAGCGAGGCTCACACGCTTTTAGGTAGATAGCTGTCCCGCGCTTCGCCTTCTGAGCCAGAGATCTCCCAGCCTCAGGCGCCCCGAGTGAGGACGGGCCCGCGGGCCTTGAATGCGCTGGCGAACAAAATCAACATTGATCTGGACCACCATCGGGCCCCTTGCCTAAAGCCTCAGCACAGGTTTTGCTGTCAGCATTTCTGCCGACAGGCAGGAAATAAGGAAGCCAGAAGCAGAAGGCAACTGCAAACGAGGATGTGTGTACGGTGGAATTCCCTCTTGGGCGCGTGCGTTAAGTCCTTTCCCTTATAGGGCGTTAACTGTGCTCTCCGGGTGTGTACTCGATGGAGTTGATAGGGGAATTATCACAGATCCTGGCTCCTTCACTATGCAGCTGCGCTCGCGTGCTGAGAGGTTTCGGTCTTTAAGCATCTCCAGGAGCTGCAGTGCGGAAGGTTGAAATCGCTAAAACCCAAAGCTTAAGCCATGACCAACACTCAGCCCAGGTCAGTGGCCACCGGCTCTTAATTGTTGGAGTGCTGAAGACCTTGGACAGCAAGACAGAAGGCCACTTGGCTGCTTGTTTTTTGTTGGGCTTCTCAGCTTCCCGGGGACTCCGATTCCCCCCCACCAAGGAATACCTACCTACCGTTCTTAGGGCTCCTTCAAGTTGACTTCCTGATATATATATATATATATATATAGATATACATATATACATATATATACATACATACTTATATATATATATATGTCTTATATGTGCTTAATGAGGTTAGGTTCTTTGGGGTTCAAGTATACCTTGAGTCAGATCAAGACTTCTTCATGGTTTGATTTTGTCTGTGTTCGGCTTTCGTTACGGCATTTGGAGTCTCAGGGCTGCTAATGCATTCCAGTTTGTTTTCTGGGGCTCTGGACGTCAGACTTGTGGCAGCTTGGGGCATCTGCACAAGCTCTCGGCCGTTAATGAACGCCCTCTCCACAAAAGCCTCAATCTCTGCAGCTCTAAATCCCTAAATCCTCAAACCCTGATTTGTTAAAACCCTATGCAGAAGAGGAAAAGCAAATAACAACAACCTAAGTCCTTAAACATGCTTGAGGGATTTTTGAAGGAGACTGGAAGGCTAAGGCCTTTTTGGATTCGGGCTTGGGGCTTGGAGTTTTCTGACTGCGAGCTAAGGCTTCGGCGGCTTTGGCTTTAGGATCGGTTTTCAGGATTGGAGTTTTAAGGGTTAGGGTTTAGTGTTTGAAATTAACTTGTTTGGGTTTATAGGGGGTTAGGGTTTAGGGGTTCAGTTTTTTAGGGTTGAGGGTTTAGCGTTTAGGGTCATACGTCGGCGTCAGTCAAGATGGTTGAAGTGGCAGGTCTGACTCTAGGTCTAAGGGTCCATGTACCCACATAGTATATACTTTGGCCTCAATGTATTCCCTAGATGATTTAGGGTTTAGGGTTTAGGGCTTAAAGTAGTCCCTATGTAGGTACTTTGGGGCCAATGTTTCTACTATATGAGCACATGGACCCTTAGGGTAGACTCGAGTCCAGGGATTCCAGGGCTTGGGGGCGAAGTGCCACTAGGATTGAAGCCGTTACCCACAGGGTCTTATGTACTGTTGCGGGGGATACTCCCTTAAATCATAATAGTAGTTCCTAGCATAGAAGCCCTACATTCTACTCTATGGGTACCTGGGGCGCTTTGGGTTCAACTACCCGTACCAGCAGCAGACCTTGGCGCTCAAGCCGCAACTCTTCAAATCCCCATACTCCCCTAAACCCTAAGCCCTAAACCCTAAACCCTAAGCCCTAAGCCCTAAACCCTAAACCCTAAACCCTAAACCCTAAGCCCTAAACCCTGAACCCTAAACCACCCTAAACCCTGAACCCTAAGCTTTGTTTATCACTCAGCCGCTCCAACACACACCTGACACATGCGACAGCCGCTGGTTGAAAAGGTTGAGACTTCAGGGAGTATACAGTAGAGGCTTCAAAGGTTTGACACAACAATAGCCTCAATCCTGAAGATCTTAAGAGTAATGTATAGGTAGTCCCGGCACTACTATGGTCCTTCATCCGTTTGCAACTTTTTGTGGTTTACTATAGTCCTGCTTGAACCACCGCACTCCCAATCAGGTGTGTTGAAAAGCCTGACTGGAGTCAAGACACCTCGTTAGAATAGCGTTTCGGGCTATCTATATATATACATATATATATATATAGATATGTATGTCTATACAAATATATATATATATATACGTACAAATTTATGTTTACATATATATATATATAGATAGATAGAGAGATAGCTATATAATAAGGAACCCTACTAAGCAACAGAATTACTAATAGTCTAGGCCCTAGGCTTGTATATCAACCACGGACCCATAGAAGCTCGAATCTTCCGCGGCATGGTAGCAGATGAGCGGAACAAAGCATATAAGCCCTAGCGGCAGGGTTTAGGGTTCATAGGGTTTAATGGATACCGGGAGATCACAATGTTGTAAGTCTCTTTGAAACCCCCCAAGTGTGAAAACCAAGATCCTGAACCCTATATCCTAGGTGGCACCGTTTTAGTCACGAGACTCGAAAACGGACCCCTCCAAATAAGGTCAAATCAGCTCTGCACTACAGCTGCGACTGGGCGCAAGTGAAACATCGGGTAAGGTTAAGGGAGCTAAGGCTTATGCAATCATGACAAAGATGGTTGTTAGACAGCAGGCTTCTCACATCAAAGCACTGATGACGCATACTAAAGAACACTTCAGCGGTAGCAGCGCCAGCGAACAACAACCAGCAACATTTGTAGCAATGAAGGTGAGGGCGCACCGTGACCACTATGGAGGGTATCGGATTCTTCGCGCTCTTCCAGTAACCTGCTAACGGACAAGATGCAGCTCTGCTTTCGCATCCTGCTTCTATGACTTGAACCCACCCAAAGGAACAGTGTCTCTGAGATTTCTTCGGCCATGCTCGAATCGTCCAACCCGAGCGTACGGATTACTTCCCAGCATCTGGACAGTGGGTCCCAGTAGGTTGATGTGGTAGCATATTTTGAATCAGGTTATTTCGCAAGTTGCGTTTTACGTACTTTAAGGTTTAAGTTAGCTCAGTATCAGGAGTAGCACCAAATATAGTTGGGCTGGGCCACGAGGGTTGTGTCAGGTGCACCCACTTCCAGCACAGCCATTGCGGAATGATGCTGATGTCGAGCAAGGCCCACTCTCGGTTGTAGGGCTTCAGGGCTCAACGCGCTCACCCCCCTACCCCCGAAGCGGGAAGATGAGAAAATGATGGCGCATGAACTGTGAGCTTGGGGTAGACGATCATGCAGATAATACAGCCCCAGTTCCTGTCCTAATTGTTACGAACCCTAACCCTAGCCTAAACCTTCATAGAAAGGCTTACAGGCCTATACCTCCGGGCCGTTTCCGCCGTTGCGTTCTTTCGCAAAGATTTGCATTGAAGCATCGGAACTCACTCTGGACGTGATGTGTGAGGCTTGTGGGCCTTCGGGCTTGGAATTCCGAAGTTGGGTTTTTTGTTAGTTTAGGGTTTACGGTTTAGGGTTTAGGTTATGGGGGTGCTGGGTTGCCCTTGTTTTTTGATGCATTTGGGGCTTGAGGGAATGGGTTTTGCGGACGTGCTGGAGTGTGACGGAACATTTTTCCCTCATCAAAGCTGTAACATCCATAGAAGTTCCCAAAAAATCCAAATCCGTCAACACCGCGCCCGAGTACATACGCAACAGCTTATAAAACAAGATGGTTTACTGTGGGTCCGAGGCCTCAGCAAAGCCTGAGCCTTCTCAGATCCCTAAGTCCTATAGACCCTAAACCCTCCTTGATGCCTTTCGTAGTTAGGCAAGCAGGCACAGAGTTTCCAGTGTTCGCAGATCAGGCCGCCAACTCGTTTTAATAAATGTATGTATGCATAAACGCCCAAAAGTATATGCAGCAAGACACACACGCACACGACAGGGAGACAGAATACGCACGAGTGATGCCCCTTTTAGTGAAGCGAGAAACCCTCAACGCTCCAGACCCTGTGCTCTCAGGTCGAAAAGAGCTCTTTGACGCACATTCGGCAGAAGATCGGTCACGCCAAGCTCGAGGTGGGGCTCCTTCTCCGCTTGTTCGCACTGCCCAAGTTTATAAGAGTCCCAATTTGCAGGTCTTGCATGGGGTCCCGAGTAAATGTTGGCTTTTGCAGTGTTTTGATTATTGTCTAGATTACATTTCTTTCGGGGGATGTTGCAGTGGACTTTACCGGGATCATGGTGTGTCGTTGCTGTTGTAGGGGTCACAGGGATGCATTACTGATATTCTATGGCTTTTTGTAGTGGAATCAACGTATACTGCCCAGACCCTAATAGAGGGGCTTAAATAATTACCTATACTATTTTTTTTGGGGGGGGGGGATCCTTATTATAATTGTAGTATAATGGGCCCAAAACCCTATTCTAACTATTATAAGGCCCCTATATTACCTTGTATCAGTATCACGCCGACTCAAACCCATGGGTCCTCGCCTGGCTTGTCCGAGTTGTGAGAGCGTAAATCCCCAAGGCTCCGCACTAAAATCCGATTGGCGGAAAGGTTTCCTGGCCAACGACTCAGCATGGCCCACAACAGTCTTTCAGTATGGTCCTAGGGCCCTAGACTTTTCGGGGCGAGGGTTGACCCAGGGCCTCTGCGCGGGACAGTGCTGGGAGCTAGTTGGCATAAACTCCAAAGTCCACAGCACCCAAGCCCCTCTAAAGCCCATGGACATCTTCAACTCCCAAACACCCCTCTAGAAGCCTGCAATGCACTGTATACAGACATACCTATATTATATAGATATATGTATATGTATGTATACATATAGCGATCAGATTTTGAAGGTCATGGGCGACGTGCACGTCACAGGGCCGAGGACCCGATTGATCGTCCGTGAATTCGGGTTGAGTGGGCTTTGATCTTTAGACCTACATGCTCCATTCTAGTTTGTTTTTGTGCTTATTTTATACTTAGGATCCTATAGGGCAACCCGTAAAAAGAACTACAATGGAGCCTATGGGTACAAGGTTTCCAATAGGAAGTGTTTGGGGGTCCACGGCTCTCTTGGGGACTTTGGCGGATTAGATTCGGGAGCGCCTGGGGTTTTGTGTTTTTGGGGCTTCCGAGCACTAGGTGTTCGGAGGATGCAAGGCTTCAGGGTACCAGTGCATCATAGGGGCCTGGATAAGCACCACGAGCATTCCTTAAAGCACCACTAGCATTCCTTAAAGGTTCCCTCTTCTTTTTCAGTATTTACAAAGATAACCTCCCATAAGCTTTTTCTAGTTATTCAGGCAAGCCCCTCATGAGCCAACTCGCTTCATGGCAGCCGGGAGCCTTCAAAGTTCATGTTCCAGGGTGGAAAAGAACTGTGATAGCATTATGTACCCCTTTCGGTGTGTCTTTTGGGTGTCTTGGTGTATTGGCCCAGTGACTGATGTTTCTGGGATGTGTCCGGCTTGGTACTCCTGTGCTTTGTCGTGTCCTCAATGTTGTAGGTTGTGATATGATCTTGGGTCTTTCGGGTATTTTCTGAGTTTCTACAAGGGGTCGGGTTACATGTAGGTATTTCATGCTATGTAACTATCATAAGGAGCCCCAGTTGCCAAAACTCTGTAACTATAGTATGGAGCCCCAACATTAATGTAACTGTACGAAGGAGCCCAAAATGCCTATGACTGTTAGTTAGACTAAAATCATACTTGCCCATAATGAATGCCTGTAACTGTATTAAGGAGCCCCAACTGAAACCTAGACCCTAAACACTGAACCCTAAGTCCTAAACTACCCTGAACACTCAACCCCAAACCCTAAACCCCGAACCTTAAGCCCTACACCCTGAACCCTGAAGCGGTTAAAGGGTCTTAGAAGGACGGTGAAGCTGGCTGGGCTTCGGAATGCAATGCTCGATGCTGCCTCCAAGAGACCATGGGACTTCCTCATGGCACCTTGGCAGTTAGGGTTTAGGGTTTAGGGTTTAGGGTTTTGGGTTTAGAGTCGTTTAAGGTTTAGGGTTAAGGGTCCACCCCCACCCCACTTCCCACCCAAACAAAAAGGCCTCAGAACCAAAAAGATGCAGCCTGTGCACCCGTAGATGCCCGTCTAAGCCCTTCGCAACCCTAAACCCTAAACCCTAACCCTAACACTCCAGGTACCTACTATATAGGGCCTTAGAACCACTAGTACCCTACATAGTAGGTACCTGGGGGGTTGGGGTAAACCCTAAACCCTAAACCCTAAACCCCTTCTAGTTTTGTAGGGTCTGGATGACTACCCCGCGTCGTGGGCTTCAGGCTTTGCAGTCTGTCAGACTTGCCCATGTGCTGGGAGTGGCCAGAAATTAGGTTGCTTTTTAGTTCTTCCGTAAGGGTTATATACAAGAGTTTCATATATATATATATACATATATATATATAAACATACACACACACACACATATATATATATATATATATATATGTATACATATATATCCTTAGTAGCTGGGTGAGTACACTTTGCACTTTTTGAATAACATGACCCCTTTTAGAACTGAAAGTGTACGCTTTTGGGTGCTTATGAACTCAGCAACTAAGATATGTATATTCCTTTGTCCAACAGATGTTTGAGCCACTGCGCTATGCTGGTATGTGTATGTCAAGGTCGACCTTTCCTTCGGGTTAAGGCCCGGTTCAGGCCCACATATTGGTAAAGGCGTACAGTTTCGTTATGATAAGGGACCCCGAGGAATAGCTCATTTAGTTATTCAGGAGTCAATGTCACGTTCATTGTTCATTGCCTACTTCGACTGTCAAGTCAGATTAAGTGCAACTCTGCCGCCCCGGTTGTAAGCTAGTGTGGGTTGAGGGGCTCTGGGCTATGATTGAAGGCATACTCCACGTATGCTGGCCCTCGCAGTAGCCATTCGTTTGGGGTTTGCTTGTCATTTTTTTAATAGAAAACGCCTGTCCTACACATTTTGATGATGGTGAAAACAATTGTGGTAGCCATTCGTTATGATAACCATAATGCTAGTAATACCATTCATTCTGGCTGCTACTGCCTGTTTACGGTGAACCAAGATACATAGTAGAAGACAGCATCCCACAGACAGCGCGCAGAGATCGCAATACTCTTTGGGGGACTGCCTTTTGTCAGGCCATCCAAGACAAGGGCGGGTTTAGGATAATAATAGCAATATTAGTAAGTAGCCGGATTCGTGCGGGACTGCATAGCCGTAGCCTGAAGATCACAAATCCAAAGTCGTTATCCTTTTCAATCCCAAAGTGTCCTATTAGTACCTGTATAGTAGAATGTAGCTATATGTAGCTATCTAGTAGAATGTAGGCTTTCGATAGTGGGAACTAGGGAAGTATACCTCCCATAACAGTACCTAGGACCCCTTATAGTGCCTCCCAGGTGGCTGACCTGGACAACACCGTGGTCTGGGACAGACAAACCTTTCAAGGCATCTTCAACGCTATCGAACACCAGGCCGGTGACTTGATTAGGGTTTAGGGTTTAGGGCGTGCAAAGCGTTTTATAAGGGCATAATACAACAGAAGATGGATAATTAGGTTGCTCTTGCTTGCTTTAAAGGTCCCATAAAATGGGAT